GATACAACCCACTAGCCCAGCCCACATTGTCTCAGTGGGATGCATGAAAAGCTGGCCCTCATATCCCACGTGCAATTGAGGCAGATTCCGGAAGTGAATCCTTAATTTCTCTGGGCAAATCTGATAGCAGGAAAATCATACTTTGCAGGGACTACATGCATGGCATTCCATGAGTTTCTATAAGCCCTGGCTTACTTAATCGGAAGGGTAAAGCAGACTGAGAAAGCAGTGGGTGCAAATAACCATGGGCTGAACTACTTGGTCTTTGGCTCGGTCTTTCTCGTCTGCAGGGCACATCCCTCCACATGCTCAGACAGAAAAAGCCCTAAACTCCCAGTGTTCCCCAGGCAACTGCAGGATTTTATTTTTCCGCATAACCATGCAAAGGACTGTGCACTTTGCCTCCAAGTTCATCTGCAGGGTTGTGGTTCTTTAAATGTGCAGCAGAGACAACCACACCCCCCCTCCCACCATGGCAGAGTGCAGGTCACTTAATTTGTGCAGGGAGGGGTGAAGTTTTGCGGAGGGAGACATTCATGAAGTAGAAGGAGCCAAAGGCACTTTCCCTCCGGGCACCCCAACTTGAGCGTTAATAGTGGAACTTGCAGAGAGAAGCATATAGGAGTCCCTGGCCCCCGCAGTCCCATCCTTTCCAGAATCCTGCAGGATCTCAAATCCTCCGTCTTTGCCTGTTCTAGGACAAAACCCAGAAATGCCGTGCTTTGGTCATCTCTGCACACTGCTGTCGGCTGCACATTTCAGTTCACAGAAACAGGTGCAGCAATAGGCTGCACACGCAGGCAGCAGCTGGCTTCACGTGTTGGCAGAACGGCTGCCGGTGGGCAGGAGGTATTCTGCAGGCAGAGGGGAAGCAGGCCTCAGGGCCAAAGGGGGTGTGAGGTGAAATGCGCAGCTTTATTTAAGAGCATCAGTTCTGGAAGAGGGGTGGGCACTGACAAATAGCAGACTGGCAGCAGGCAGGAGCTGCACTCTTTCTTTCCCTGCTGCCATCCAGAGGGAAATCCCTCCTCTGAAGCTGCTATTGCACTGGAAGGAATCCCCCCCTTTATTTGAGAAACACTGGCCTCGTCAGGCATCACATGATAACACTGGTGTCTCCGCAATCCTCCGTGCAGAACAGGGGACAGGACGGGACTGGACTGGACTGAGAATCCACTGATTTACTTCCAGCAGGATGCTGTTTGTTGGGCAAGACATTACACTAAAGTAAAACAGCTAGAAAGAAACAATATAAAATGAAGTGTGGGCCAATTTCAAATTAAGAATATAGGGCATGATATTCAAAGCTCTTCTTTTGCTCCCCATCCTTCCAGCTTGTTCCTTTTCTGCTCACTGAGGCTGACTTGTGACCTTGGAGAGGCAGCTTATGCGGTTCTTTCTGTGCCTCTGGCAAGGGAGTGGGACAGGGGTGCAGCTTTCAGTGTCTCAGCTCTGAGGATCATGGGACCACAGAGCCAGGGCCCTGAATAATCCAGGGGTCTCCCAAACTATGTTCTGTGGCCATGGGACCGCATCTTGTATTTAGTAGTGGTGCTTGCTGCTTCATTTGCAAGTACTTGCAAGAATGCAGTAGAAATCTAAGGTCTCAGGATCTGTGATGTGCGTGCCCCCTGCAAAACTCCAACGCTGCAGTCTCTTCCACAGCGTAGCAGAAAATATCTGAACAACGGAGAGTGTGCAGGTAGCCTGTAAAAAAGACAGACTCCTGCCAGGTAGCTGTTTGGCAAAGAAGAGAACTGGGGTAGCAAGAAGGGAAAGAAGAACTGGTTGCCAGGATTTGGCCTTCTTGGACTGGAGAGAGGAACCCTGTGCAGAGCACAGGGCTCTCCATTCAGCTACTGATGCGACAAGTCTCTGTGCACGCAGTGCCTTAACGGGGAGCAGGCTGCCTGGGGTCTGCAGTACAAAGCAGTGAATCTGGGGGATTTGGAGGTGGAAAAGCCGGTGGGGCTGAAGCCAGGCAGCGAAGGGTTATTAGGGCCTGGAACAGCCATGGAGAGCATCTCAAGGGCAGTGCTGCAAGGGGAGCGAAGGGGTGTATCCTAGGAGAACAAACCCATCACATCACAAATCCAGTTACACAGAGTTCCATATACGTGTTGGCTTTACAAGTAATGTGCTTTATAAAATATAGAACTATGAATGTCATATTTAAAATATATCTCCATTGCCGATAACAACATGTAATCTGTTTGTAAAAAATATATGTAGAACCTTCCCGGAACTGGACACTTCCAGAAGGTGCAATGTAAGTGAAGACACTTGCTGCTGCCCTTCCATATTTCTTCTGTTCATAGTCAATGACCTATCTAGGCGATACGCTTTCCAAACCTCTCTGCAAAACGGGACATGTGGCACTTCTAGGTAGGCAACCAAGCTCTTTGGGGTTGGTAGTAATCCTTTGTCTGACTTAATCCTTATTTATTTTAAAATGTGTCTTGTTCCCCTTTCTCCTCTTCTCCATAAAACAGGAACTCAAATTAAGAATCAGTGGTTGTATAACTTTAAAACCTAGGGTTATAGTATTTCTTCCTGCACTGACAACCCAGCTAGATAATAGCAAACAGCTGGTTCTTAGTCCCAAGTAAAAAGCCCCATGTTCTAGAGTTCATTCCACTTATACCTGATCACCCTTCCCCCACCCTTCCCCTCTAGATGCATTCATCCCTAGCCAGCAAGGCCCATCTGGTCCAATACCTCTGGAGGGCATCAGGCTGAGGAAGGGTGCTCTGGCAAGACCTCACTGGGCTTACAGAATGCCCAGGCTGTAGCTCTAATCGCTCTCTAAGTAATTGTGGCTGCTATCGGCCCCACAATTAGTGGGCTTACTGAGGCTAATTGGTGAGATTTGTTACTGGGGCTATTGAAAGCACTGGGATTTAAGTTAACTCAACCTTAACCAGGTTTACCTGGAAGGAAACTCCACTGGTTTTAGTAGAGTTTCCTTCCAAAACAAGTTGCTCTGGATGGGAGACTTAGACTGCAGTCCTGGGAATGCAGTTACGTGGGGTAAGATCCATTTTAATGAAGCGAGACTCACTTTGCAGAGCATATGCAAGGATTGTGCTGCACATCACAGCCAGCTTTAGCCAGACGGGGGCCTCGTAGCATGGATGGGATGAACTGTGTACAGTAGGAAACGCAATGCCCAACAGGGTCTTGCTTCCACATGTTCAGCATGCAACTACATTTTAAAACCGTGATTGTCTATTTCAGCAAAATGGGCCATGCTTGCTACAACTAAAAGCTGAAAATAACAAATGTGAAAGGCAGTTTACAACCTGTTAAAATGTTTTGAACCCCAAACCCCCTCTAGTCTGGAGATTACATCTTAAAAAAAAAAAAATCTTGACTCCTAAGTATCTCTCCTTGGGTTACAAATTGGAGCTCTCAACTACAGGGAAATCAAGTTATGTTTAATGTTGGCTCAGGGCTCCAGCCTTATGGCTTTGAATTACGTCAGAAAGATAGCGTGGGTTCCATCCAGGTCAATCTTACTTAGGCTAGACCAGTTGAAATTAATAGGTCGCAAGTTAGTCATAACTAGCCGAGTCCTCTTCATTTTAATGCGGCTACTCTAAGTTGGATTAACATAGGGCACAACTTTTAAAGTCCTTCAATCGTTTAAAGGACCTTTGCTTGCTTTTTTGTTCGAAAATACTAGACAGAACTGAGAGGCTCATCCAGACAATTGGTTCCAAGCATGCCCCTACGGCATTTTGGCTCTGAGCATAGTCCTTCCAATTCTAGTTCAAAGGCAGGGGAGAAACAGATGAGCCATATATAATGGGAGGTTGGACAACTTTAGGAGTGAGATTCCTGTTGCAATTCCTATGTCTTTTAAAAAATCTGAATAATGTACATGCAATAGCAGAGAAAGGGGTGCACCCAAGCCTTCAGGAGGAACTCTAAGAAGGTGGCATGTACTAGTCTTGGGGAACATGTGGCCGAATACACCCACTAAACTCACTCTCCCCACAGCAGCAAGCCCATCTGAAGCAGGAGCAGACAGCCTGCGGCCCCTCAGATGTGGCAAGCTCCATCAGCACTAGCCAGTGCAGCCAATGGAGAAGGATGGTGGGAACTGTAGTCCAACAGCATCAGGAAGCCCACCGCTCTGTATATGGAGCACTGCTGTGGCATAGATGGTGGTAAAAGTGACTAGAGGCTTAAGGAAGCCTTTCCCTGGAAAGTGTTACTTCCAGTTCCCCTTTTGCAGACCGGGTGCTAGTCAGTTGGTTAGAGTCACAGATGGGCTGTGTGTATGCTGGGAATGGAGTTGCATCACTCCTTGCGACTGAGATCATACATGCTAATCAACAGTCACGACCTACAGCAAAACCCCCAAAGTCCTCTAGATTGCAATGGCCTTTGCTAGTATGGGAAATGCATGTGTTCTTCCAGTAGCCATTCACTGCTCTTCATGTGCCAGGAAAATGCAAGATCGCCGAACACGGAACACTTCCTAGAAGGAAAATGCCTGGAATCTGTGCAAGGAAATTGGCACAGCCCTGTATTTGTTGCACAATTTCCTGACTGGGTCCTAAATTAATCCCTCCATTTACCATATCCAATATATGTCAGTATGCAAAACCAGCACAGCCTTTTCTAGCATATTTCTTGCCATCAAAGCAAAACATTAGCACACGGTTTTGTCTCATGATGATACAAAAGGAGTTTCTGCTCACAATAGATGGTTAAGCAAGCCACTGATGCTGTGCTACCATATGCAATCCAGCTTGCTAGAGCAAAAGCAGCAGTAATTTTGTGATTAGCAACAGGATGCGGAATATTGTTTTAATCATTTTAACTTCAATAATTCATAAAACTTTAAGCAGCAGGTCTCTCTGGTCAGGTTTTATTAGCATGCTTCCAAATAAATTCTAGCCTGGGAGGCGACGCTGAGTTTGTTGCATCCAGAGACACAGCTCAGTTTGCGATGGCATACAAAATCCTTGCACGCTGAGTAGGTCCAAGTAGTAAAAAGCTTTCATCAAAAAGGGTGCTGGAGAGAAAAATCTTGACTCATTTTCTTCAGGGTCTTATTACATATAAAGTCTCACATTCCTATGTTGCTCTTCAGGCGCTGTTACATGACATTTTCAAAAAGCTGTAAGGATCTCATGATATTGTCATCCTGGAAATAACAAGGAAATACACCACATATATTTATGTTGTGAACCCAAATGGTTCTGCCAAAGCTGGAGTACTGGAGATGGATGTGATCAGTTTTACAAGGTCTATAATACAGCTGAAGGCAATTTTGACTTGGCTAACATGGCATCCCTCAGCCTCTTTGCATATGCTAGCCTTCCCTAGCAAGGCACCATTCAGATTTGTTTGTTTATAACTCTTTGCATTCCTGACAATTGGCCCTACTAGTTGGGTGCAGAAATCTGCAACATCTGGAGAACAACAAGTTCAATAAGTCTGGTTTATGCAGTGGATCACAGGAGTAAGCAAATTCCCAAATTTGCACAAAACCTTGAGTGTCAACTGGTCCTTTCATGTGACTACTTCTGTGAAAATGCTCTGCTTATACAAACTGCCTGGCCGCTGTCAGGAAGACTGATTGTATGTTAGGCCCCATTATGCATGCACCTTTCAGACACTTAGATAGCCTTCTCCTAACCAGGTCTTCTCCAGATGTTTTGGATTACCTCTTTGAGCATTGGCTCTGTTGGTTAGGACTGATGGGCATTGATGTCTTAAACATCTGGAGGCTACCAGGAGAGAGAATGGTGCATTAGAATATTTCTATGTTATTTCCAGCTTTTCTGGAGAGAGAGAGAGACCTCAGCTCCTTGATGCATGCTTTGGTAACCTCCCAGTCTATATCTCTGCATGAAACCGAATAAGCTCTTTTGAACTGAATAAGCTCTTATTTGAACACCCTTTCGCTAGTTCCATGGCTGAGAGAGCTCACAACAGACTGAGGTGCTGTTCCTTCCTCAGACCATAAAGTGATTTCTTCTTTATGGACACGGTCCCCTGTTCATCAAGATATTCTGAAACATTCTTGTCTGAACTGAGATTCTACGTACAGGGCTGTTCTCTTGCCTCATTGACTTCACGTAATATATACTACGCCAAGTCAAAGGTAAAGCCCATTGCTTACTGAATCCTGCAGTGCAGCTACTTCAACAAAAGATCACCTTTGCCATTCATTTCTCTGCCATTTCTACACTTTCCCTTTGACTGTGCTCAAATAGGTTGGTAGTCGAAAGAGACACTGCAAGATACCTTATATGGAAATGAGTCTTTTGTTCTTGGGCTGCATTTAAAATGTACAACCTGTGCTTTAACCTATGTGAACTGTCTGTGCTTCCACGCATTTTCTTATGTGGAGTTTAATTCTGATGAGGGTTCACATCTTTGCCTGTGTTGTTTGAGTTTGTTGCTGTTTGTTATGTAGTAACAATGTTTCTGCCATGATTTGTGTGTCCGGTCATTCCAGATATATGCACAATTGCTGGAGAAAGACAAACTGTGGGACACCTGAAAAAATGCCCGATACAGCACACTATTTCTGCATGTAATAATCATATCAGTACCCCCCCCAAATCAACTTATGGTCCAGCTTGAGAGACACAGGCAAGGCAAGGCCTTATAATGGGCACATGTGGATGAATGCGTGATAATATCAACACACGTTTAGATAAGCAGAAGCACACCAATTTATACGGCCAAAACTAATTAGCATACAAAATGTTTCTGATTGTGGTTGCATTTCTGCAGCTTTGCATATATATCCACTCAGTGCTGGATGCATGCCCAGTGCTATATAGCGCTGGCCATCTGTCTGTACAATCAGAGACCCTGCTTCTGTTGTGATACGCTATAAACAACTCTGGATGCAGAGTAAACACAACTGCCTGCAAAGGAAGTTAGTTTTGACCGATGGCTGAGATCTCCGTAGCATACACAAGAAGTCAGTTAGAAACTGATGCTCTTATTTCCTTCCTCACATGAAGTACTTTTCTCACTGACGACTTCTCTTTTAACAAGAATGTTACTCTATCTTCTGCCATATTTTTCCAAATGGAAAGGAAATCTAAACTGATATTAATTCCTGGCCATTGTAATTCTGAATCTGGTGATACAAGGATCCCTATTCAGTAAATAAAATAAAGGAAATCGGATTTCACAAGCTAACGGTTAATGGAGAAAAGAGCTGGTCTTGGATTAACTGTTCCACTGAGAGTCCAACTACAAGGGAGAAGCAGCTGCTCAGCAGAAAAGCTGCACATTCTGCCTCTTCACCGGAAAGCAGTGTGGGGAGGAAGGACATCAGTAGGAGCACCGATGCAGACGTGGAGCTAGCCACCTTTCATATCTGCCTCAGCCCAATGTTTGTTTGGTGCAAAAAACAAATATACTTTCTTCTTCTTCTTCCTCTTCCTCTTCCTCTTCTTCAACACATATACCATTGTATCATTTTTTATTTGTGGCTTGCTCAGTTTCCCATACCTGCTATATACCACTCTGCTCTCTGGGAGAAGGAAGGACAGTTTTAAACTATCTTCTAAAATGTGTGTAGCATCTGATTAGATCCTTAAAGAAAGGGAGAGCCATCAATATTGCACCAAATGAAATTTCTAAGTGTCTAGTTTGTCTCTGCTCTTTCTTAAGGTTTCATTTTGATCTGCATTTCCACCTTTATCTTGAGCTTACAAGGTACTTATTTTTAAAAGTTTCACAGACGTAAAGCCATAGAAACTGTGTCATACTAGTTTACACAAGCCTAGTTAAGTTTCCATAGAGAGAATATCTGCATGTTTGCTCATCACTTCTATCTTATGCTTATTTCTTAGGCATTTGGAGGGAGATACATGTGGGTTTGTTTGTTTCATTGCACTTCTCCCCATACGTTTATATACAGAAGTATAAAAATGTTTTAATAAATAAATAAATAAATAAGTATTAGGAAACAAAGTGACTGGCCCACATGACATGCGGGTGGCTAATGTGCCAAGGAGGCTTTTTAACCACCTTGCAAGCCAGGCATCTCCAAAAGCAGTAACTATAACAGGTGCGACGGTGCACTGCAGTGATGCTTTTGCCCCAGTGAATGCAAATACAGGGTAATCTGCTAAGGAAGCAGGAGTAGCCAGGGGGCAGGCGATGCAAGGGGCCCTTGACACAGGCACTGTAGCACTAGGCAGGAATGGTTAGTGCATAGTCTAATTAGTGCATCCTTATTCAAAGAGGGAGGTCCTTGCAGTAGGTCTTCCACCAGCTTTGGCACAGCCGTGCTTACAGAGGCTGGCTGAGACACCACGGTAAGCCAAGGTTGCGTGGGAATGTTGGTTTCTTGTTCAGGAGCACTGTGCTACTGCACGCTACCGAATTGTTTTTGCTGCGACCAGGAGCATCTCGGCAAACCATGGGGCAAAACCTGCGGGAGCTGCAGGCCACATAGCTGGAGCACAGTGGGATGCATTTCGACACAGAAGGAAGTCCCACTGTGCACTCCCTGAGAATTGTCTTTGCAACTGCAGACAAAGAGCCTAATTCATCCCCGGGTACATAGCATGGGAGCTTTCAGGGCCCAAAGCCATTTCCCATGCATATTTCCACTTCATCCTCACTTCTTTCACATATTCCTTCTGCATCAGGCCCTTCTCCATGTACAAACGGACAACCCCATCACTGCAGATTTCAGCTCTGTGTGCAGTTCCACTAAATGACATGTGCTACTTCTGCATCTTGTCTTCCCTATTCTTTACTATCAGTGGTGAAATCCAGCAACTAGGCTTGAATGTTATGAGGAAGGTGAGCCACAATGACCCAAACTGAAACTTGATGTTCCAGAACTCTCAGCATTTGAATGAAGTGAAATCTAAGCTTTCTGGAATGAAATAATCTCTTGACGGGTTTTATTATGGAAGGAATTCTGTTCTTACCTCCTGACATGACTCAATAAACTCCTCCAAAGTTACGACACCATCTTTATTTTTATCCATCTTCTGTCAAATAGAAAAACAAACATTTTGAGTCCACAAGTATGATGTTTCTGTAAAATCTAGCTTAATATTAAATGGATAGCATCCAAATAAAACTACTATTTTGTAGGTACAGATTTTGTTATCCAGATATAAAATAAGTGAAAATATAGTAGCTACAAGTTAATACTGCAGGGATAAAAGCACACTAACAAACAGAAAATTACCTGGAAAAATACTTCTACATGCTGCCTTGGTGCATCTTCTTTCAGCACTGGGTAGGTATATTTGCCCATCATGTCATAAATTGCCTTTACTATATCCATCATTTCCTGGAATTGTGACAATTAAAAGAACAAGGGAGACATCAATTATGGCTGCGGCAATGACACACAGGAGTTTGATCAATCCTCAGTGTTAACTTTCACCAAGAACAAAAATGCACCAGTTTAGTGTGGCAATATCCCTGTTGTGGGTTTTCCAGCACAAATGAACAGCTTTGCTGTGCTTTAGATTTGAATGCATACAGAAATAGTACACAGGTATTATTCCACATTTACTTCATGATTTCCCCCATGACAAAATTTAACAGTTGTGCATTCTGCAAAGCATCTACCCTAGAAAAATATGTTTTGCAACTGCGATCTGTCTGCAAGAACAACCAGCAAGACAGAGCTGATGAGTATGATTGAGACTTCAAAGTTGTGTGTCCAGGCATGATTTTTGCTGGGCCTAATGTTTAAATAGTGAACTGATCTTGTTTTAGAATAGTGAAGCAGTTTCTCTGTCAGGAAAAGGGTCTGCCACTTAACTTCTGCAGGTTAAATTGCTTGCTTCAGTACCGCAAAACCCCCGTTTTAGTTCCACAAGTTAACAAGCATATTCTATTTCCAGGCCTATGTATGATGAAGAATTAGCACAAGGATGGTTTATTAATGCTATATTGTTAGTGAAATATGCAAAATGTGTTTAATGAAATCTGTTGCTCTTCTAAAGCAACACTAACAATATGTTGTTTGCTTGGTTACATCACCAAAAACAATGACGTTTCTCCAGGCACCCTAAAACCAGAACATTTACTATGACAGCAGGTTTCCTGGAGTAGAGCCCACCTTGTCAGGCTTTGGATCAAACACTGTCCCACAAAAGTGTACACATCACTAAATGTGTTAGCCTTCAAGGTTTAAGAGGTGAACATAGCTACTTCCCCTCTGCCTGGACATTTGTCCATAAAATTATCTCTGTCCATTTTACTGGCAGCTGCTTGTGTGGCCATGCCATGAACCTACTGGAATCCAGTGAAGTGAATTGGAATGGTTTCTTTGTGCAAAGTGGCATAATCTCTTTGCAGTGCTATAGTGAAAATAGCTTTTCATGCATTACAGAAGGCCTGCTAGCATTCGTGTAGAGAGAACGGGCTTTGTGTACGGGAATGAAGCAGCCCTCTTGGCTGCAGCCGGAGACTGCTAATGATTCAGGTGCTGCCAGTTCCATCTTTTTGCCCCACTCCAGGATAGAGGAAGTGCAGAGGTCCTGATCTGGCTCAGACCCCTGTGCCTCCTATGTATGTATGTATATTTATTCTAGAAATATTTGAAATAACTAAATAAAGATTGTCAAAGAGTAGCTGGAACTGAACTGCAAAAGCAAAAGAGGGTGGAGAGATAACATGCACTTTGGATCTCCGTCTGCAGTTCTGTGCCCACTGATATGGGAGTGAGTCCGACTGAACTCGGTGGGATGCAGTTCTTCGTCAAGATGCACAGGATTGTGCCATAATGATCAAATACAACACAATTATCTGATTCCTTTGATGTGGCTGCAGGCTTTCTGAACCTTAGCCTGTTCGGTTTCAAAGGAGAACACACGTTCTTTGGAAATATTTCCTGGCACAGCTTGTGGCTCAAAGGAGATAATTAGTTCGTGCAATTTATTGAACATATTGAAGGAGGTTGTTGCCATGAAAAACGGCAGAGTCGTTAAGGACTGAAATGGCCAAGTTGGCATATGGTGTTCCATGCATTGTGAATTTATCTGTGAGACTCATTATTGCTGTGGACATTAATGTGTGGTGAACTTGTTCCCCGTATGCATATTCTTCCAAGGCAACTGGTTGGTGGGATCCCAGTCAGACATTTTGTTCTTTCAAAGCTTTTCCTCAGGAAAGCCATACCCAATGCACATGTTACTTCCTGTTGTTTTGTAAGATACTTTCCACCCATTTGTCTCTGTTCCTCTTAAATTTCTTAGTTCTACAGAAATGTGTTTCCTATGGAGGATGTGCTCTTGCCAAAGTTAAAATACTTCATTCCTATTGGTTTATACAGGAAAGAGATAAGCGTGAGAGTCATTAGCACATATGGCTTAATTTTAGTGGCTTGCTCTCGCATCTACATCTGTGCCACTTAGAAGCTTTAATGGTTTCATTAAAAAAAACCCCATGAAGCTAGAAGCTCCCCACTAAAAGTTGCAGCTCCTTGCTGTAACTCTCCAGTGAAAGCATTTTTCTAGCCTTCTCAAACTGATCATCATCACAGTGTCTGCCTGTCCATCCATCTGCCTGTCCATTCATCTGTCTGTCTGGAGGAATCGTCGCACCAATATCATGAACTCCAGGTATATGCATGCAAAATGGATCCTAGGCCTATGCATCTCAGGAGGCATTGCTTTTTACTACTCGTTATATAGGACACATTAATGTAAATGCACCAGCATGTTTGAAGCCTGCACTGCCATCTTGAGTCAATAGATAGCAGAGGTCTCTCAGCAGCCCCTAGCTTTGCCGTTGCTACATCTGACACTGGGGCTTGGGGGAGAGGGCCAAGGGCCAGTTATACCACTGGCCCTTCCTTCCTTGCTGTGCTACAGAACCTGCCCTTGGGGAATTCTAGTGGTACCCCATGACAGAGCACATGACTAGGGGTACCAGGGGTCATGTTTTCACTCTGATTGCGTATGTGCGATGTGACAGTTGGTAATATTGATTGGAAGCTTCATGGTATCATTAATTGTTCTTCAAACCTATGTGAGGGATTTACTTAATAAACAAATAAATGTACCTGGTCATTTGTAGCATTGCCCTACCATTTGGTGAGATTTCTTTTTCTTTGTATTATTGTTTCTTTGTCCTGCGATAGTCCAAAACTGTAATTTTTGCAAAAGTGAGGGACTGGCCAAACTCTGCTCTGTTGTTGCAGGAAAGCTCCCTACAGTTCCTTTCAGGAGTGGGAAAAGAGCAAATCATTCTGTACTGGCACGGAAATAGTGTTGCCTCAGTCTGTGTTTTGTAGGAACAAATACTGTGTTCTTTCCCATTTAGAAAGGCCATTCGTAATATACACACCTACCGCTTCCTTAACTCTTATCAAAAGCAGAGCTCATTGTTCATCTCTTCTCTAAAAAGGGACACGAGTAGCTTTGACTCAGGGCCAGCAACAGCTGAATAGGCAGCACACAGCAATCTCACATGACATGTTTTGTGTCAGCTATGCCAGGCATGAATTACATTTTACAAGATGAGCCAACCTCCCCTCCCCTCCCATCCCTTTTCCTAATTTGATTAGATATTGATATTGTAGACAAGCTCACCTCCTTGTTTATGTAGCCATCCTTGTTTATGTCATACAGATTAAACGTCCATCGTAGCTTTTCATGAACGGTCCCTCTCAACAGAATGGATAACGCTGTCACAAAATCCTGTTGCAGGGATGGGAGGGAGAATATAAATATATTTTAATGGAGAAAGCACGCTTTCTCTGAGCCTTCCTGCAGATGAATATATATATATTCTAAGATTCATGTCTTCACTTTCCCACCGGGAGTAAAGCCCCTCTGTACCACCAGCAAGGCCTTTCTCCATTCGAAGGGCACTGCAGTGTGACCTGGGGAATCTTCCCACCAGACAGCTTGTGAGTTCTGCTGTCTACCTAACAGGCACAGAGGCCACTGGCCAGCCACTGACATGGACTCTCAGAAACGGCGGATGTGTCTCAGTTGGCTTTGCTGTGCATTTGCCACTGTTCGCTGCAGTTGATTTTGTATGTTTTGTCAAGGAGCTTGGGATCAACCATCCCCAAGAATGTCTTAATTGGCGCACTGAAGATGGGTAGAGATACACATGGCCCAGACTGTTTTAAACACAGTGAGACTGCTGTGGCAGTGAGTTCAAGGGGAGATCAAAAGTAGGAAAGACAATACCATAGACATAGATGTACAAATAGCTATAGATACAGATATGATCAATCGCTGTTGGCTATGTCCTGCAAGCAGCCAGAGTTACAACACTTTTCTTCACAGAGGGATAGAAAGCCCAGGGTTTAGAATAAGAAATAGAAAGATGATGCAGAAATAATCAGAACCAACTATGATTTCTTTACCTCAAACTTCACGGATCCATTCTGTGCTGTATCAAATGCGTTAAAGAGATAGTGAGCGTACATACTAGCATCTGAAAAACACACAGTGAGCGTACTTTAAGGCTCTGTTACAATAATGCAAATAAGCCTATGTATAGCTGATCTGAATGTTCTCTAATTTCACTCTTTCATTCAGAAGTGTATTGATTTATTTGATTTTAATGCTAATAGTTCCTCCAGCCTGTTCGTTCTTCCATTTATTTTCATGGCTTCCTGCTACTGTTCACAGCGTCCTCCCTTCTTGCTCCGCTTCAATGGCCATCTTTTTTCTCTTTGCTCGATTCCTTCTCAAGTGATTCCAGTCAGTCAGCAACTACATCTGTAGCCCTTTCAATTTCACGGATAAAGTCTCAGTCACTACAGGCAAATGAGGCGGAGGGCAATTCTTCTCATACAGGTTATAAAGAGGACTACACAGCCAATCAAGGATCTCAAAGCAAGGATTTCCAGAACTAACTGGGGCAGACTTTTCTGCTGAAAGGCTTCTAGAAACAGTTGCCACCCTGTGCCTAAGGCTCAGTTCTCTACATATCTGCAACCGTATCTGACAAATTTTAGAAACATGAGAACTAGAAGCCTATAGAGTCAATTTAAGTTTAAATAACCATTCTTTAATTTCTTGGAGGTGCCTGTCAGCCCTGCTTTCCAGCCACTCTGTAGGGAGATCAGTTCCCTTTAGCATCATTTAGCACGCATCATTTCATAGTGAAAGGCGGCAACAAGCTGCTACAGAAGAGTAGCTGGTTACAGTCTGCTAAGCTACCTTCTCTTTCAGTAAACATGCATTGCACAAAAATTACTGACAATTCTGTCTGACTTGTGACTTCTGCAATTTGAGCTGTGTCTCATAGAAGAAATGGCCTTCACTCACCCCCGTGTGGGAAGAACTGTGCATAGATCTGTTTGAATGTTTCTTCATTAACAGCTCCACTGGGACATTCCTTTTAAAAGCAAGGTGTAAAAACAGTTAAGATTTAATTTGCAATATTACCTTTGTAACAGATACAATCAAAGGAAATTCTACCTATTCCCAAACTCTAAAATATTATGGTAATTCTGCTGGATGAGGGCACCCTAAAGAGGTTCTACGTTAGAACTGAAGGAAATCTCTTTGTGGGGTTTCAAGCACTCTTTCCTGGACATACCATCATGTTTCAAAAGGGGATGTGCCAGGGCTGACCATAGCACCTGAATATTTGTAATCACCATTTCCCTTTGTTCTTTTTTTAAAAATCTCTCTTGATTCCAATGTCAACCCAGATAAGTGAGTCCTAATGTGAGCACAACCCTCCCCCAATTTAAAAATTCCAGTTGTGGTTAACAATACTTTTGTAAGTGCTCATAGCTGTGGAATAGGTTCAAGAGCAGCATTTTATGCTCAGATATTGAAATGTCTTTGGGGCAGAAGGTGCTTTGACATTAGTGAATGAAATGAAATGAGAATTAAAGTAAATCCTTGCTCCCAGATGCCACCTATTAACAAATAACAAAGTTGAGGTGCTAGGAGAGAGAGAGGCTTTTGAACAAGTAGACAAGAAGTTCAGTCTCACTGGCGTTAAGCACTATTAGTTCCTCTTGATTTTATTGGGGGACTTAATGGTATGCTTAGCCAGGAGTCAACAAATGTTCTTCAGAAAGGAGACAGAAGAGAAAAAATATCTCTGTGTGTAAAAAAGCAGCGAAAATCATAATTATGCCCTGATACTTTGTACACTGGAACATTTCCCAGTGTATTTGACCCATTTCCCCATATAGGGCACAATCCTATGAAGTTTAGACAGAGAAATGACCTACAACTCCCAGCAGGACCCACTTTGGAATGAATAAATTACAGACCTATTATCATGTTACCATTTATATTCTGTAGTTGCTTTATCAAGTTCTCATTAATGCTCTCATTTTCTGTGATTTATTAGTAATCCTGGTTCCCCCTATGCCTTACTCAAAGGGCCTTTCCCACATAGGGTGGCTATGTATTCTACTTTATTTCAGGATGTTAGATGAAGGTGTCCTCTGCCTGAAGGCTACAGATAAGTCCACTTAAGGGACTTAACACCCTGAGGGCCAAAGGAGACAGTGGTTTAAGTCACCCATGGGATGCTGCCTTGCATTACCCTGTGTACCTGTCTTGCAATGACTTACAATGTGCGAACCCAGGCGCCTGGGGCTCTTTGAGGATTAGGCAACCCATGGCATGTTTTCAGGTTGTTTGAGGCTTCTCTGACCCCACCCCCCAAAGAATCTCTGCTTTCTGGGCACATAGACCTGCAGGTAAATTAAGCCACAGGGGATCTTTATGTCAGCAAAACTAGGAAAGTAAATAGCTGGTGATCTGGATCACAATCCTCGCATGGGGGCGGTGGGGGGGGTTATATTTTCCTCCAAGTAGGGGCTTGAATCAGTTAAATTCATATTGCAGCTGTGGGGGGACTGATCCAAATCAAGCACAAGGAAGGTGCAGTTTGCGAAGCACCCTACCTCCCCCTGCTAAGGGCTGAGTCTGGATTGCAACCCCCGTTCCCCTGCCACACACACACTTAAACACCAGGAGTGGAGGAAGCCCAGCTGCAAGGTACAGCTTTAAAGCTGACACCTGCTTTGGCCATAAGAAGGTAAACCTTGGGCAGTGAAGTTCCCAGTCTATAGCTTTGCTTTGGCAACAGCTGACTGGGTTGGTAAAGCAGTCACCTGGTCATAGTCTCCCTTGCTAGGTATTGCTTTTCCAGTTAAATAATGCTAGCGATGATCTCTGAAGTGGCATCTATAACTGTTCATTGGAGTACGGTAATTTTATCCGTATCCTCTTCCGGTGAGGCATTTCCTCCTGCCGATGCGCACACTGCCACCCTGTCACCGTGTGAGTCTGGCCCACGGTGCCCCTTCCATATGCCGCCAGTCCTGCTATAGCAGTAGTGTGTGCTTCCTTGCACCACTGAAATTCTTGCTGCTCCCGGTGGATTACTTTCCCGTAGTTCACTGAGATCCCTGGCAAGATTTTGGACAAGGTCCTCTGAATACCAGAAAAGGCAAAATGGCCACAGATCAGCTAGATTTTTCCTTCTGGTGGCTGGACTGCTTTCAGACAGAACTGCCAGTTCCATTTCATTTACACCTAAATGGCCACCGTTTTGTTCCCAGGCAAGAATGCTCAAGAGGGCTCATTAGCAGACTAACTGAATGCAGCTGACTTTCCTGATGAAGCCAAGCAGGTATGCCCCTTAGTCCAATTTCTATACCAGCCAGTACGTTCTCATGCAATGGGGCCATCCTTGGTGTCTGCTCATTGTGGATAAATAAATCATTGCCATCTCTTTTTCTACCATATTCTTAACTCATTGCATCACAGTGAGTAAAGGAAAGCCATTGAGTGTATGATCACCTGAGCCTATCCATGTTCTCATTTTCTTGAAACCCAAAACCTTTGAAAGTAATGAGAGTGTTGCAAATGAACAGGACAACACAGAACTGTTCTTTTCGCACTCCCAGCTCTAGCAATCTCTCTTTATTTCGCAGCAAACCCAAGTGGTAGCCCATGAGAATAATGAACAAGTGTGCACATCAAAGGGAAAGCAGCAAACCACAAGGTCGGGTTCTTAGTTCTTTATTTTGCAGACCACATACCCATTTCATTCACTAAAATTAGCATTACACTGAAACTCACCACAAAGAAACCAGTATGCTTCCTCCTAACTTGAAGGTAATCTATTCTGCTGGTTGGTAATGACTTCATTTGGTGCCAGAATACAGGCCTTTATAATTGGGTGGCCTATAAATAGCATTACGTAGTTTCCAAGACTAGTCTCAGGAATAGACCACTTCAATGTGCCCGTATGATAGGGAAGGGAAAGATCCCTTCCTGCACTTAGAAAAATAGAATCACAGGGAGAATGGTTATAATCCAGATTGTTCCTGAAAGCTTAGCTGTTGGCTTGACATTTTTAAAGTAAGGCAACATAAAATATGAATAAAAGCCAACCTCTGCGCACAGTGAAGCTGTTACCTTTTATTACATGCTTTTGCCGTTCATCCTTGAATTGGTTCAAAGTGAGCTGAGACCAAACAGCAGCTTAAGCCTGGGGTTTGATCCTTACTCCAGATGGGCAGGCAACACTCTGTCTTGCAGAGGTGATCCCAGAACTCAGAGCTGCTCTCAGATAGAAAGTCTTGGCACAATTCGGTCAAAAAGCAGGAAGAAGGGCCAAACAGCAGACCTTCCTTTTAACAGTTGTAGCATTCTCATTTTTACTCTAGAGTAAGCCCTTGGAGGAATCAGGCTTGGGGCCTTAGCATAGCAGTGCAGGGAGGTTAAGTTCTGTATTGAGCCTCCTGCATTTATATTGCAGTAAAAATTTAAATATACGAGAAAACCCATAGCAGCTAGATAGGAATCTAAGGCAACATCTGTTTTGCCCTGTAGAGTAAATGGAAGGTACTCGTAGAAAGAAAATAGGGCACCGCGTCTTTATGTGTGCCTTTGATTGTGCACGGCTGTCCCTCTTGTGGAGTTCACTATTGACAAGTGCTGGACAACAGTACCCCTGCCCCACAAATCAGACAGGAAGCCGCACCCCAGGCAGGTCAATTTCCAAACCATTCACATGATAACTCTGTCAGGAGAGGACTGTAAAAATGTCTGCTGGAGCTTGGAGGGTAGCCAAGAATGAAAAACAGTGTTTTATCTCAGATAAAAGCTTCACATAAAGTTAGTCTTACCTGGGGGCATTAGACTTAACAGTTATCAATATACTTATACTTACAGATAAGTACCCCCTACCTCCAAAATGCGGTTTAGGATCAGTGCTAACTTCTTGCAGGCCTTTTGAAACTGGAAAGTACAGAAATTTAAAGCCTGCCCCTTGCTCTTCTTCTTTCCCCCGATTTATATTTTTGGCAAGCAGGACTTCCCTGAAGTTAGAAGGCCCTGGTGCTGCCCACACAGAATATGCATTTTGCAGGGAGCAAGATTAATGCTGAGAGATTCCCCGTGCTGCATTCTTGGCCAGACTGCAGGGTTTCATTTGCCTACATGCTTTTTAAAGCAGATTTCTGCCATGTAATAAAGTGTTAGGTTAGGGGCACACCTGTGGATACCCCTAATTAGGGCCCGTCACATTTGGTTCTTCTTATCTTATGCTGGGCTTACAAAGCAGGCCAACATGATCTGGAAGGCCACACGATTCTTTGGGGTCCCAGCTTGGAGATCCTAAAATCTTGGATCTGGGACTTGGAGAGCTCATCTGAGTGAGCACTCACCTCACCACCTTGTAGCCAGTATGGACTGTGTTGGCTGACCTCCCGCCCCCCCCCCCGCACCTCCCGTGGTCGCAGCTGGACCTGGAAGCGGGGGAAGGGGCACACTAGGGAACAGGACGAAGGGAAGGCTGGGGCTGTGGGGGCAGGCTGACTCTAATCTGCACCCCAGCCCCTTCCTTCACCAGAACGAAACCTGGGGATGCTGGGAGCTGTAGTCCAACACAACTGAAGGGCAGCAGGTTGGAGAGAGTGGTATTAGTGCATTTTCAATGTTTATATCTATTAAAGTCCTCTTCAAGTTATGGCCATTTCAGTACAATCCTCAACAATGTCATATTCTTACATTTTTGAATCCTCTGTAAAGCACTTGGAGTTCCTTCTTTGTGAAATTGGTTTGTGCCTCAAGTTGTTCCAGTCCTTCAGGCCGATAACATACTGTGGTCATTTCCAATTCATCTTCAATTTTGTCTAAAAGAAAGACAAAAATGTTACTTGGGGCCCCATTCTTGTCTTTGAAAGTGATGGAAAGAGTTAAATATAATGCCAGTTAATCTTGGAAACAATATTAAAGGCAGATACTAAAATGTAGATGCATATCAAAGCAGTTCCATTACAAATAAGATTAAAACTAAGAAATAGACATATACCTCACATTCCTCTTAAATATTTACAACTTATATTTGCTTTCAAGAAGTAAACAGTTCTTGGGATTGAAGACATTTCTAAACTCCTTCAGATGCTTCAAGCAACAAATCTGTTTGCCTAAATTTAGACACACTGACTTGCAAATATTTCCCAGCATGCAGGTAATATTTTAGAATGATCCTAATTTCACAGAAAGTAGCTATATAACATGGACCAGACATGCTTAAACATAATACACAAAAGCTGTGATCCCAAACACACATTGACATGGCAGTATGTACCACTGAAATTAATGGAACTTACTTCCAAGTAATATGTTTAGGATCAAGGAGAACAATATCTACACTGAACAGGAATGGAAATTACTTTCCCCCCTTTTGTTGTGCAACAAAAGAGTTTGAAGGATTGAAGACACTAATAGCCAAAATAAAGTGATCATTGTTTAAAGCTGTACGTCCTTTTTTTTTTTTTTTTTTTTGGCTTAAGTGAGGAAACAGGAAAGGAATAATGGGATGTGAAAGTGTACACACTATTTTCACCAAAGCAAAGGGTACATGAAAACAAGCAGAACTCCATTGTATCCCAGAGCTGGCCATTTCATCTTCTGTTGAGTGTTACTAAGTGTTGCATTATTTTTATACATAGACAGAATGCTAACTTCTTAAGATAATGATGACCAAGAAGCAATTTCACTGTATGTATTTTTTATTTAAAGTATTTATATACCATCTTTCATCATCAAAGCTGAGGGCAGTTTACAAAATTTATTAAAACAATGTTTACAATATAACGCAAATATCACAACAACAAGCAGCATATTACTGAGCTAGGTTTTAAAATCAGCAAATGCCTGGCAAAACAGATGCTTTTTCAGCAGGTGTTGAAACATCATTAAGGATGGTGCCTGTTGCATTGCAGGGGAGGGAGGATTCCAAAGGTGCCAGGCAATCCCCTTAGTTACCTGTGTAGGTAATAGGACAGCAGGGCATTGAGATCTGCTCTATAGATCACAATGAATGGGCAGGCTGATGTGAGAGAAGGGGATTCCCTCAGGCAGGTAGCTCAGGACTTTAGGTGCTTTCCTAAACCATTGCCTTGACTGAGTCATAAATTGCACCCTTTTTTGGCTCTGCGATATGTAGCCAAGTGTTGCTTTTCATTCTGTGGACACAGAGGATCTCCCTTTGGGATTGAGTTTTGAGGAGGAAGACCACTCAAAAGGGGCCTTTCTTCCCCATTGTATGTCTGTTCCTTTAGGGCGGGGTGAGCAACTTGTGGCCTTCCAGATGTTTTGGCCCATGCCTCCATAATTGCTCAGCATTGGCTATGTTAGGGATGATGAGAGTGGAAGGACAAAACATCTGGAGGACCACAAGTTTCAAACCCCTGCCTTACTGGAACCATTGCCAAACCCTAATGCTCCTAATCTAGGGATTTTCGTTCCTTTCTTTTCACTTCCATCAGCAAGAACACGTATACATTGAATTACCTCTCTGTTCTTGCCACCAAGGTAAATGCGTGTGTAAATTCTCTCCAGAGAACAATTAGTTTTAACTGCCCCACATGCACTGCTCTCCGATCATCTTCTCCTTTGGGCAGACTGCAACAGAGTGCTATGGCTCCACTGATTCCTTTCTACCCTGTCGATTCCCTTGCATAAGCAGTGAGTCCCACCAATTGCACATGCAGAACTAAACAATTTATGCAAGGGAGATTTAGCACTTTGTGGGGCAAGTTCTAAAATGAACAGGAAAACTTCCTTTTTGGAAGAAGGGTTGGCAAGGCTGATATACTGTCAGTACTGTTGACCTGCCCCTTCCAGAAAGCAGTGTTCTGACTCATTCAGATTCTTTGGAAGGGTTGGGGAATCCTTGCACAATGAAACTGGTGAGAGGAAGAGAATCAGCGTAGGCACCCAGTTGAATTCAGCCCTGAAACCTCACTCTTCCAGAAATGCTGGTAATTGGGGGGGGGGGGAGGTGAGAGGGGCACAATTTGCATGCTCATAAAGCTTGCACAGCAGCTTTCCTTACTGCTGCATGGACCTACTGTCTGGTACAAGCATGGAGCAACCTGTCCTTCGGTCTCTCCGACTGGCAGATAGGCCACTTCTGTTCTATCTTAATCTCCACCCCATTGTTCCTCTCCACCCTTTCCTCCACCTCACTCTACTCCACTGCAGCTGATTGCCTCCAACAGCTTCGGAGGAACTCCCATCCTGCTTGCGTGACCTGACAGCCTTCTGTCTCTCAGCCCAGAGAATCGGAGCAAGCAGATAGCAAGGGGCCACTGGCCTGTGTCCATCAAGCTTTCTGCCTACCCTCCTGGAGGCCTATCCTGATGCCTGCTGAAATAAGATCATATTAGGGCATGGGAAATGGATTCCCTACCCATCATGCCCTAACAACAAAGAAACAACACAAAGTTGAACATTATTGATTTATTAATCAAATTCAGGACTGTGAAATTCAAGGATATGTGTGTGTTGTCAACTAGCCACTCTTCAGCAGGACTGTGCCTTGGACACTACGTAATAGACAGTAAGCGGGGAGTGCAAGGGCACAAGGGTGTGGGAACCTTCTTGGAGGCACACGGTCAGCCGCCCAGGGCCTCGCAGCCAGGCGCATCCTCTTCACTGCAGCTGCTCAGGAGCTGTGGTTCCCTCCAGCTCTGCATGAAATGCTGCGTGGGGACAGCACGTTTCCTGTGGGACCATGGCCTGTGAAGAACAAAAGGAGACACAAAGAAAGGTAGCGAGAAGTAGCCAGCCTCAGGAGCACATCATCCCTGACTTTGGGTGCCATGTAGGTACTCATGAGGGAGCAGGAGCGGGGCCAGACAAGAGGTTTGGCTGCCAGAGGCAATGGACAAGCCGCCCCTCCATTTCATGTATCGAAGCTGGCAGCTGAATGTCACTTCAGTGCTGGCAATGGAGAGGATTCTCCAGCAACCTGAGGGCAGCGGACTAGCGGAGGAGGTGCAGAACAGGCTGCCTGGAACATGACGGAGGGCAGGAGCAGAGTGGCTGGTGGACCCGGGAACAACAGCAGAGAGGCTGCAGCCGTTGACGTTGCCTGAGGGCAGGAACAGACCTGAGTGAGCGAGGAGAGCAAATGGGGCAGCCCTCCGTGGCTGTGAGGACACATGGCCTTTCCCTCCTGGGGACTGCAGGAAACCTCCGTGTGCAGATGCGGTTTGTTCTGCTCGCTCCAGGGTGCGCTCCGACAAGGCAGGCCCGCCGCACTGGCAAGCAGTGGATGGCATGCCTGTGGAGGTGGAGTGGCCAACTGCCCCGTTTGGGGGGTACATGGCTCCCTGTTGGTGGCAGGGAAGTGTGTTAGAACAGTACAATTCAGGCAAATGGGATTTGCATCGGGCAACAGGGGTGTCAGGAGACATGGGAGTCAGTCCCATCCCTTCTACTTTGCAGGATGTATTCCTTCTCTGGCTAACTGTCTGAAGGGCTCTATTCTGACACCCTCAGTTGTCAGAATGGAATAGAGTTTGGTGTTAAGGCACTGGTATCTGGTCAACTAATTAGTAGTGCCTTGCAAAAGTGTTCAAAATCATTCAAATCTCATGTGCAATATGAGGCCGGGCTGCGTTGTGTTGAAAATGGTGGTCATTGTGCAGAGGCTTACACAATCAGCCCTCCACAGGCACAGGACTCCTGTGAAAAGCTGCAACTAGCTCCAGCCCCACTAAATCTTAATTCCATGGGGGTTAGGGGTGTAGGTCCCCTGCAAAAGTGGAAAAATTGCAAACATCTCTAGTCCCCACCCTAAACCTTACCTCTTAATACTGTTGACTGCATGTGTAGGGGATGGCTTCTCCCTCTCCCTCCCTCCCCCCTCTGTGTGTGTGTTAGCCTGCATTGTTGATGTGTACACCTATGTACATGCATCATCTGCAAGTTTCCTCAGTAGGCCACAAAACTAAAAAAAAAATCCATTTAATTATTGATGGCAAATTCACAAATAATCAACTCTGCAACAGCTAAACCTACGAAAGTTGAGGTTCAGTTGTATACTCTTGGTTGCATATACTGAACTGCACCATATTCTACTGTGGCCATGTGGGTGGTGGGGTGGCTACACCCCATCTTTTCCACCCCTGTTGGAGTCAATGGGAAGGCTTTTTAAAAATAAATCTGGAGCTGGTGTAAAGTTGCACTGTCCCAGGAGGTGTAGCAATGGATTGAGGGGATATAGGATATGGTGTAAGAGTGCTCCTTCCCTCTGTTCCCTAGGCCCCACTCACAACTTTGCCCTGTTCCAGCCCTTCCTCCGCGCATCTGGGATGCTCTGCCCGCTTATCTGTACGGCAGTGGCATAGCCAGCACTCTGCCACCACAGCTGGGCTTCTGATGAATACTGGATCCACTTCTTGCATTAAGAAGGGACTGGTGAAATTCTAGAGTATAATCCATCATCCTTACCTTTGTCTTTTGTGAACAGATTCTTTAGAACATCCCGGGGCCAGCAAATTGAAGTTTTTCATTAAAATTGCTTTGCTGTGCAGAAAGATGGTTCTTTTATTCACTTTGCAAAGACGCAGGCTTTTTCTTTTAGCAAGTTACCTTGCTGTTTGCTAGCTACCTAATGTAAACATCTTTTTATTTTATTTTATTTTATTTTATTTTATTTTATTTTATTTTATTTTATTACTTAGAATGAGAACCAAAACCCATCAAGCAAGCGAGCAAGCAAGCAAACAAAAAGTTTGACAACTTTCCTCTCTCTTTTTTTTTTTTTTTTTGATTTTATTAGAATTAGATCTTGATCGCAGTGGTGCAACAGGGACCGGAGCACAGGTCAATTTTA